AACTTAACAACTCCTGTACTCCCTCCCAGGAACCCTGATGGCACAGTGGTTGAAGTACTTGGCCACTATCTGAAAATTCAATGACTTGAACCCACAGGTCAGTCATCAGATAAATGACGGCACACTTTACTTCCATGAAGATTGACAGTCTTGGAAACCTCATAGGGATAGGCCTATTCTTGGGAATAGGTTATGAGAAAATCTACTTGACAGTAACAGGTTAGGTGGTGGATATAGAATGTTCTTAGAAAAAGCAAACACTTAAAGTGGTCAGTTTCTACTAAAAGGTTGATTTCCAGTCCACTCAGACGTTTCTTGGAAGAATGCTTGATGACACTATCTAAAACATCAATCCACTAAAATTTTATGGGGCACAGAGGAGAGAGTGAAGCCCCTTTCTGTTTGGAACTGGGAGTCATTTGGAAGTTTTGAGGTGAGAGAGGTCTGTCAGGGACATGGCCTGCGGAGTCACATTGACCCAGGTAATCTTTGATCTGTAAACAGGGTATCAGGTTCCCAGACTTCTGCTCTGGATGATCTTGTGTGGAGCAGCATCTACCTTCCTCCATCTATGGTCCTTAGTTTGCTTGTTTAATAGATTTTAGATTTAAAACATTGTCAGATCCTGTCAAGTGGGATCTAACTCAACAACCCTGTGTACAACACAATTAATCTGCCTGACCTTATGCTGTCATCATGACCTCTGCTGTGTCTAACCCCCTGTTCCAGTCACCGTCAATCCATTTATTCCATGGAATCTTATTTTCATCCACGTTCAACTTTTCTAGTATGATGTCCTTTTTTATAAAGGTGCAAGACAAACTCTCAGCCTCCCTGCTTCTAAGGAGCACCCTGGTTTCACTTCTTTGGAGAGAAATTTCTTCTGTTGGTCAGTCAACTTGCCAAGCTGTTGAGTTGGAACTGACACATAGCTCCCCCACCAGGGAATTGTGGGAGGCTATGGATGAGAAGATTACGTATCTTTGAATATAAACCACCAGAGAGGTTTAGCCTTTTATCTAGCTGTGAAACTTCTTTCAGTTGTTGTCCTGTGTCTACGAATTGGAACCAACTCGTAGCTAAACCTCCAGAGGCTTTTCAGAGGCAGTAAATCATACACGAGGAGGCTGCTCATCTTTCTCCAGTGGAGATGCTGGTGGATTCAAACTACCTGCCTCTGGAACGGCAGCACAGCTCTGTAAGTCCACGAGAACCACGGTATGATCTTGAATCTGTTCCATATGAATTTCAAGATCACCTTGGGAATAGATTTGATGCACTGAACATCAAAGATCAAAGACCAGATGAGTAATGGGATGATATCAAAGATATTATCCA